TGCTGCGATCCAAAGAAATTCAGGAACAAATGAGAAACAAAGTAATTGAGATCTATCAGTCTAGAAAAGGTTATAAAGCAATTTCTAAAGCTTCGGGACTCCAGCGAACCACAGTGAGAGCCATTATCCACAAATGGGGAAAACATGGAACAGCGGTGAACCTTCCCAGGAGTGGCCGGCCGACCAAAATTACCCTAAGAGCACGGCGACGACTCATCCAAGAGGTCACAAAAGACCCCACAACAACATCCAAAGAACTGCAGGCCTCACTTGCCTCAGTTAAGGTCAGGGTTCATGACTCCACCATAAGAAAGAGACTGGGCAAAAATGGCCTGCATGGCATAGTTCCAAGATGAAAACCAATGCTGAGCAAAAAGAACATAAAGGCTCATCTCAGTTTTGCCAGAAAACATCCTGATGATCCCCAAGACTTTTGGGAGAATACTCTGTGGACTGACGAGATAAAAGTTGAGCTTTTTGGAAGGTGTATGTCCCATTACATCTGGTGTAGAAGTAACACAGCTTTTCAGAAAAGGAACATCATACCAACAGTAAAATGTGGTGGTGGTAGTGTGATGGTCTGGGGCTGTTTTGCTGCTTCAGGACCTGGAAGACTTGGTGTGGTAAATGGAACCATGAATTCTACCTGTCTACCAAAGAATCCTGAAGGAGAATGTCCGGCCATCTGTTCGTGACCTCAAGCTGAAGCGCACTTGAGTTCTGCAGCAGGACAATGATCCAAAACACACAAGCAAGTCCACCTCTGAATGGCTTAAGAAAAACAAAATTAAGACTTTGGAGTGGCCTAGTCAAAGTCCTGACCTGAATCTGATTGAGATGCTGTGGCGTGACCTTAAAAAGGTGGTTCATGCTCGGAAACCCTCCAATGTGGCTGAATTACAACAGTTCTGCAAAGATGAGTGGCCAAAATTCCTCCACAGCGCTGTAAAAGACTCATTGCCAGTTATCGCAAATGCTTGATTGCCGTTGTTGCTGCTAAGGGTGGCCCAACCTGTTTTTAGGTTAAGGGGGCAATCACTTTTTCACACAGGGCCCTGTAGGTTTGGATTTCTTTTTCCCTTAATAATAAAGACCTTCATTTATAAACTGCATTTTGTGTTTACTTGCGTTATCTTTGTCTACTATTTAAATTTGTTTGGTGATCTGAAACATTTAAGTGTGACAAACATGCAAAAGAATAAGAAATCAGGAAGGGGGCAAACACTTTTTCACACCAGTGTAGCTTCTAAGTAGCATCATAATGATGCTAATTGAGTTTGCTCTGTAATGTAATCAACCCAGCAACAGATTTCCTACAACTGAAGATTGTTGACAAGAGTTTGAGGGAATCTTTCATATGCACAACTCTTTAACAAACCCTGTTTCATTTCACATCTGCATGCACTGCTCTGTTTTTGACTGCTTTCAGCGTCCAACCCAACAATCCATCCATGCTATCCATACTATCCATCTACTATACAATTACTTGTATCCATCTACTATACAATTACTTGTTACAAATTGTGAATGTTGTATTCTGTTTGTAGTTGTTCTTTGGGATCACTGCAAAAACACAATTCTTGGTACGTGTTTATTTACAACCCAAATCTTTTCCAGCTTAATCCATCAATCCAGCATTTCAAATCCCAAAATAACTGACAAAGAGCACTTCTTGTTTTCAACCTCTGGTTCTCTGTTCTAATTGGCCATTACCATTGCTATGTCGCATTACTGTTGTCAGCACCCTTTCCTTCCAGTGTTTATTTGCTTTTCGGATGCTGTCCCATCAAAGTAGGTCAAGAGTAGGAGTGACTCCCTCCATGATTGCTGCTATTATGCCATGCACAGATATCTGTAAACAAGGTTTGAGGTGGCTTTGGACATGTTGGGTGAATTACACCTCCCTTAGGATAAATTTAGCACAGTTTCCCACATTATAATTTAGCAATTTGGTGTTGTCTATCTCACAATCAGCTTACAACCGTTTCTCCTACTGTAAATATATTATAATAGCCAAAGTGAAGTCTTCCTATGAGTCAGTTATTTGGCAACTGGTAACTGGTCATTTCAAACAGTGTAATTTGAGACAAATTATGCAAAAAAGTAACTGTTGATAAATTTACAAGAAAAGATAATACAGACAAGAAAAAACAACAGGACCCTTTAAAGTCAAGCTCCTTGTTACAGCCATTGGATTGGGTGCCTTTAATTTGCTTGCCAATTTGATAATACTGACTAATACCTAAAACTTCTAAAGTTATAGTGTATGTGTAGATGTAAACCATATATCTCAGCAATCCATACCTCACAAAACATGGGAAACATAATTAAAAAAGACCCCAGATTTCAAACAAAATACTAAATCACTGAGTCTGTTCCTAGCAGCAGAAAAACTAACATGTTTCCAAAAACAGATAATGCTGGTGCATGTGCACATTCAAAAAAGCACTAAAGGACATTACATCAAACCTGTCAGGGAACAATGGATTGTATCAACAAAGGCTTTCCTTCAGAAAGTATCCTGCTTTAGACAGGGTGTTGATATAAGGTCCAGCATGTTGTGAGCATTGAAATCTGCTAGTCAGCATTTCTTCTCATTTTTGTGCTGTATTTCTTTTGACATTGATAATATAAACTCACAAAAATAAAGGCACCCAAAAGTGTGGAGAGGCGCCATAGTAGAATAACCTTTGGTTCCCTAAAGAACTTTTTTAAAAATTATTTTTGTAAATGAGATGTGTGAAGAACCTATGGAAGGGTTTAAAGAACCTTATCATAATGTGAAGGTTCTCTATAAATTAAAGGTTTTTCCTAGATTGTACGCCCAGGCCAAGACCCATTTAGGAACCTGTACATGCGTGTGGAATTTTTAAACATTTTGTACTGGAAATGGGATTGATATTTAAGGGATCACATCATTTTTGATGAAGCATGTAAACATTGTTAATATTTAAATACATGCCATTTCCTGCCTAATCCATACAGCCCATATAAGAAAACTATGCAACCACCAGTTTTTGTTTGTCTGTTTGTGTTGTATTCCTTTTTTGTGGTCACAAAAAATCAGTACATTTACATATATCTTTATATCTGTACATTTAGCCAGCAGCACTTTAGCTCTGCCAAAGAGCGTTTCAGCTCAGACTGATTTTTGAACAAGGCACAATGCACAACAGCCAGTCACAACAGTTTCATATATCAATCTTGACTGCACAGTAACAACAACGGCCTGTTTAATTCTAAGGGATAAATATAGGTCATGTAAAAATTAATTATGACAGCTTTTGGTACATAAACCCACATAAAAATAAGAGGACCACAATGGAAAAAAATAAAAGAGAAATGTGAGATATGGGATGAGGAGGTCAAATGCTTATGTATCCAGGCATCTTAGATCACTTCTCACACATTTGATGAGGTTCAGGGGTGTCGTTAAGCTCCTCCCTTGCCTCATCTCAAGGTAACAAATGAACTGGCCTAAAGATGTTTCAGTTTCAAACTTACAGCTTCAGTAACAACTCACACAACAGTGCTTTAACTATTCAGTCTCTAAGCATATTGTGTTCCACTGCTGTTTTCCTCTGTTCTCGGCAGCTGCGTCAGACAATACAGCTCCGAAGTGACACAGTTCACCCTTCTTCCTGTATTTTCCTTCCTACCACCCCTTAAGCACGTAAAAGGACAGGAAGTCACAAAGTTATTTAACCTTATGTTCTTACTGTAAGGACTACAGTTCCACATTGCACTGCACGGGATTTAGCTTCTATTCATATTATGAGATCATCTCTGAGAATAGCTTTGGAATTTTATATTTCACCTGAAAGATTATCTTACATACAAATAGATTTGATTCAATCAGTTACTTGTCTGGTTGTTCTAAATACATTTTGAAAACTCAATAATGGTGACAGTAGGTCAGTTAAAACTGACAGTGACCTCCAAAACATTGTACTTCATTTTTTTATTTAATTTACAAAATAACAATCACAGTGGTGGAGCATTCTCAGCACTGCAGTGACCCTGACATGGTCACAAGGTGTGTGTCTAATAGAGTGGATAGTGAGTGGACAGTGAGTGGACACAGTGTATAAAAACTCCAGCAACTGATCAACTTGTAGCAGTACAATACACACTAACATGCTCCATCATAAAGGTGTCACTGCACCACCCAGATAATACCTGCTCTCTGGTGGCCCTGTGTATGTGTGTGGGGGGGTGGGGTGGGTACTGACCACTGAAAAGCAGGATGAAAGGGGGCAAATTATGCAGAGAAACAGATGGACTACAGTCTGTAATCGTAGAAATACAAAGTGGAGCTGATAAAATGGATAATAAGTGAGAAACTTAATTAGTATGAACAGTATTTCTTAACTTTATGTAAATAATAGTCTATTAATTAATTATTAAGATTAATTTTAGTTTTAGTGTATTTTATATTACATTTTACATATTACATTACAAATTACAAAAACTAAAAAAAGCTAACTAAACAAAAAGTAAACAAAAACCTTTTTTACTCTTTATAAGTAATAAAGTGAGAAAGACGTACAAAAATCGGTTTCACTAGGAAACTTGCTTAAGCTTCTTTCCTTTTTTCCACAAGGAAGAAAGAATGGCAGGAAAGACTGTTAAAACAGCACATGTATTGTCTTCTTCCCGCTAACAGTACCTCATCTACCGATGAAGAACTTCTTCAAGGCGTTACTGTTTTTCCCACCCGTATTCTGGCAAACTTCGCCCTCCTGTACTGGGATTGGTTAGTCTCGTTCAGCAGTTAGACGGACTGCTTACGAGTCTGTACTACCAGCCAGTCCTAGCGCAGGTGGGCGGGGTTGTCGAAATAGAGGGGGGAAAAAAAAGACGCTTTCTCACCCACGCAGTTTTTCCGTTGTATGTTTTCATCCAAACTCCTCTCACTTCTCATTGGCCAGCGGGAGACGCGCTGCAATCTCATTGGCTCCAAGCATTGGCTCTTTGTTTGATGTTTTGTATTAATTGCCTCGACGCTCGCGCCTTGTCAACGCAAATGGATTTGGACGTGCACGTGAAAGAAAACAGACTTACTCTGTCTAAAGTATAAGACGTCGAGCAATGTAGAAAGTCTGTTTCAGTTTAAGACCAGCTGGCATTGAGATCGTTTGACACTCGCAGACTTTTCGTCGTCCAAACGCAGGGCTAGTTTTTAATTAAATATTAACGATAAACGATTAAAGGAGAAGAACACAGCACGGAGACGATGTCGGGGTGCCTCGAGATTCTCGGCATGGGCTTGAACATCGGCGGCACGCTGCTGGTGATGGTGGCGTGCGGCTTGCCCACGTGGAAAGTGTCCGCTCACATCGAAGGCAACATCGTGGTGGCGCAGACATTCTGGGACGGCCTTTGGATGTCATGTGTGGTGCAGAGTACCGGTCAGATGCAGTGCAAGCTGCACGACTCGGTGCTGGCGCTCTCCAGGGACTTGCAGACGGCGCGCGCGCTTACCGTAATCTCGGCCGTGCTGGGCGCCCTCGGCGCAGCGCTCACGGTGTCTGGCGCGCGCTGCACCAACTGCGTGCGCACGCCTTCCACTAAGGCGCGGGCTGTGATGTCCGGAGGCGCGCTGTGCGTCGCGGCGGGTCTCTTTGTGCTCGTGCCTGTCTGCTGGATGGCCAACAACATCATCTCGGACTTCTACAACCCACAGGTTCCGCACGCCAACAAGCGAGAGATCGGCTCCGCGCTCTACATCGGCTGGGCGGCTGCCGCGCTGATGCTGCTCGCGGGCGCAGCGCTCTGCTGTTCGGGGCTGCAAGACGGCAAGGCGGCATACACGGTCAAATACCCGATCAGCAAGAGCCCCGTGCACAACGGGGACTACGACAAACGGAATTATGTGTGAGTGCGCGGCGGACTCTGAAGGCTGCGAACATTTAAAAACAGCAGCAGCCCAGTTTTAACGCACGCCAATTAGAGGAGAATGAAACGAAGAAATGTCAGTGTTACCAGTGTGCCTGCATCGCTGCATTGAAAGCCTTGTACTGTAATTTAAATTTATTCTTTTGCAAAAATATTTTTATTTTAGTAGAGAGTGTAATTGGAAGGGTATACACGGGTAGTTTTCTCTTAATTTTTACTTTATATTACACTTTAATTTTAATGACATTTGGTCTATTTGTTTCATTATGTGATTGTATTTTTTAGTAGTTGTTTTATATTTTGTTTTTTTTTTCCTTGTTGGAGTTGTTTGTTTTTTGTTTGTTTGTTTGTTTTTTAATAAGAGTAAACGACGTTGGTTTGCGTGAGCTTCATTACACAGCACCTAGGGTGGAAGGTGGGAGGGGGGCTGATGTGTCTTGTGTTTTTTCCTCTGTACACCACCGCACTAATTACACATGGTCTGTGCTGCCACAGTCCCAGCATGCTCTGTGAATAGCGCCTATTGTTTCACCAAAACACGCCTGTAGACTGAAAAGTGCCTGACAATAAAAACCTACTGACACTGTGTTGATAAGCTAGACATCCTCATTATAGGTTAGTTTGTTAAAGTTCGTGCATCCATGTCCACTTTTACACTGAGTATAGAGGACTTTGTAATTTACTTCTGTAACTATTTTTTTAATGAAAGATATTGTAACCAGTAGCCCATTTTCCTATGTCTTTTTGGAGGGATTTTTTTTTTTTTGTAATAAAAGACAATAGACAAATGAACATGTAAGTGTCTTCTTTTAAACTTCCTAGTACAAAAAAGTTTTAAAGTGCCTAAATTAACCTGATGCATCATTATGCTTTTTGAGAACTTAAAATATGTTGTTATAATTGCAGGTAGTAACATTTTTGTGAAAGTAATTTTACAGTTACTGCCATGTTTTGGTAAACTTGTGAATAACCTTGTAGTTAGCCAATCCCATGTTTTGCTAAACGGTTACTTTTTTTTTTTCATAAAAGCAGGGAGTCAGTCACATTAAGAATATGGTGCCACTGGCTTAAGAATGATCATCACCTACATTAAAATAAATAAATAAATCAAAATAAAATTTTGCTTAATGGCTGCAACAGTCACTATGACCTGCATCATGGGTAAACTAAACAGAACATCTGACCTACTTCACTGTCCTTCAAAGAGTAACACATTGACCTCTGCCCTGATTCCATAACAATCAGCACGGTTTCACCCAGAGATGCTAAAGAAATTATGGCGCCTCTTCCTCTGATGCAGCCATTAGATTAGAGCCATAATCAAGCAGGGTAGAAACCTCATTTCCTTGTGAGTTGAAGGAGACAAAGGCAGAGATACAGTACAACCAGAAGTGTGGTTGTTTGTTAACAAATCAAATTTGCATGATTTTCCCCTTACCCCAAATGTAGACAGCCAGCCAAGATGTTTTGTGTCCAAAGTTTGATTAGTTTTGCACTGGAGCTTAACCCCAATATAGCTAACAAGTGACAGAAGTTATACCCCACCAATTAGCACTGCGCAAACTGCATAGCTAAATCATCACGCAGTCATCACACTTTTGAATTATTGCAATGACTGTGAAAAAGTATTTACCTCCTTCTGATTTCTTCTATTTCTGTCATATGAAATAGCTTCAGATGCTCATACAAAATAAAATATGAGTCAAGGAGAACATGATGAAACATGAAACACAGCTTGTAATGGTCATTCCATTTACTGGAAATGGAGGAAAAAAGTTTTGCAACATCTGTATCACCCACATGAAAAAGTAACTGGCCCCCACAATACTTGATAACAACTGGAGAACAACCTTTCAATTCACTGAGGAAGAATTTTGGCCTATTTTTCTTTGTAGAATTGCTTGAATTCAGCCACATTAGAGGGATTTTAAGATTTAAGTTTTGAACCGCCTGTTTAAGATCCTGTTTAGGAGTGGGTTTCAAGTCTTTGACTAGGCCAAGCTAAAATTTTCATTTAGTTTCTTTTGAGCCATTCAGAAGTGGACTGTCATTGTCTTGCTACATAACTGAACTGCGCATGAGCTTCAGATCATGGATTGATGACCGGACATTCTCCTGCAGGATTTTCTGGTAGAGAGCTAAATTAATGGTTTTATCTATTATGGCAGGTCGTCCAGGCCCTGAAGCAGCAAAGCATCCCCACTATCACCACGATGTTGGTATGACGTTCTTATTGTGAATTGCTGTGTTAGCTCTATGGCAGATGTAATGGGAACGCTGTCTTCCAAAAAGTTGCACTTTCAACTCATCAGTCCACAGAACAATGGGCCTCCTTCACCAACCGTTCTTAAGAAGAAATTCCTTCTTAACACCCACCTATGCAGTTTTCAGAGAGTTGCATGAATATTTTTAAAGAAATATCTGTGTTCATTTGTAACTTTCAGGATGAGTCATCGCTGTGCTGTGAAAAATTTTAGTAGACCGGCCACTTTTGGAAAGATTCACTACAGCTCAAAGTTTTCTCCATTTGGAGATGATGGCCCTCACTGTGGTTTACTGAAGTCCCAGAGCCTTACAAATAGTCTTGTTACCCTTTCCAGATTGATATACTTCAATAACTTTCTATCTCATCTCTTTCAAAATTTCTGGCAGTAACCAATTATCAACTAAATGTAGTTAACTGGTTGACTGAGTAACTAAGCGGTGGTGTTGGATAACGTTTTTCTTCAATAACTGAAATGATCATTTTAAAAAAACTACTTTTTGCTTACTCAGGTTGTCTTAGTCTTACATTACATTTTGTTTGAAAATAGTAAAAATAGAATAAATCAGACATCAGACAAATATGTTTTTACAGCACTGAAGTTAATTGTAAATAGACTTGCATGTGGCAATACAATGGGATGCTCTGGAGAACACATCTGAGCTTAAGGTCATTGTACCCAGTGCCCAGTGCCAAGCGCCGGGTAGAGGGGTATAAAGCCCCCCCCACATCAGACTGTGTAGTAGTCGAACAGGAGTGAATGAAGCACCGTAGGATAACTTTTACGTGATCCAGAACTAATGATCCAACATCAGCACCAGACCTCACTAAATGCTCTTGTAGCTGAAAGCAATCAAAACCTCACAGCAATGTTACAACATAGTGTAAAGCCTTCCCAGAAAAGTAGAGACTTACTGCAGCAGAGGAGTGCAAAAATCGCCCAACAGACTTGCTTAAAGGGGAATTCCACCATTTTTTTTATTCTACATAATTAAATTAACATGTCAGCAAAATCATTAGAGAGGTTTAGTGTGAAATGCTTCATTATAGAGAAACTGAGTCAGAATTGTTCACAGTGGTGGTGACTGGAATCAGACCTCTGAGGAGTTTAATGGCTCTAAGAGCTCCCTTACAGAAAGTTACTACATGAAAACTGTTATGAAAACTCTGATGTCTGAGACACTGCTTCATGGTAGTTTTGTGATAAAGTTTTGGCCTAAAGAGTATTATCATTTATTTTAATCTATTCATGATGAAGGGATACATTATGTGCGTTCTAAGGCAGAACAGTCCCCTAAGAAAGTTTATTACTATTTTACTATCATCAACATTAAAAAACCCAGAAGACATGTGCCGGTTCACTGGTGGTTTTGTATAGTAACTATAATAGCTAAAGAAATCAGAGTCCATAAGCTTCTCTACGAATGAACCACTTCACGTCAAACCACTCAGAATGTTTATATTTCAACCGCTGAATTATACAGACATCTTGAAAAATGACAATTTATGCAAACCATGTTTAGTTATGTGATGATTTAGCCATGCAATTACTGTCCAGTTTGCACAATATTAACTGGAGGGGTAGAAGCCTCTATTACATGTTATCTACACGAGCTTCATATTTTTATTTCAAAAGAATCAAATTTTGGACACCAACTAGATGGCTGATTGACTACATTTTAGGTAAGGGATAATTAGTGCTGAGAAAAAAAAGAAAGCTTTCATTCACTTTTTAGGGGTTAAAAACCAATATAAAAGATTGTCAAGCCAGCCCTTTTCTTGGAAACATGTGCAGTTTTTTCTTATTTTTGGCATCCTGTGTTGTTTAGCTGCTAAAACACATTGCCCTGTTGCTATTATGACAATGTTTTTAATGTTACAAAATGTCAACATTATTTTAACAATCTTTTTAACAATGGACAGTAATAAACAGTGAAACTGCACATGAATTAAGATGACTAATTGCCACACTGATTTTCTATATATTGAATAGTTGTCAAAGAAAATCCTTCACTGAGATGAACAAAAGACCAATAAACTGATATTTATTTTAAAATTGTCTACAGAATTCATGTAATCATTATGTGCAACCAAACACCAATTTATAGTCCATGCCACTGAAAGCAATCCTTGAGTTTATCAATATCATTCAGTAGTATCCTGTGAGGTGATCTTCACTCCTGCACAGGTAAAGGCAATAAGTACAGGCACTCTGCTGCACTCTTGTGGTAAGAAAAAAAAATGCACCTGTGGCTTCTCTTAGAGCACTTAGTCAACCTCTGCTATCAAATCTCTGAAATGATAAACTAGGTCAGACAGGTAGAAAAATGAATTGAGATGTTAATAAGCAAAACTGCTCATCATTTGGAGATTCCAGGCACAACACTGTTAGAAGTCGTTGGAGGAAGTTGATGTCAGCACTTTTCGCAATGCCATCCTATTGCTGATATTCCTTCAAAACCTGGTTTGCAATGACCAGTCTCTGAATCTCACTGGTTCCCTCGTAGATCTCAGTAATGCGAGCGTCACGGTAATGTCTCTCAGCAGGCATGTCTGTTACATAACCCATTCCCCCCAACACCTGGATGGCCTTCATATTGATAAGACAAAAGGGTTAATCACTTCTTATGTAATTGTCTGCCCTTAACACCATGTAACTGTGGAGAAGTTCTTACCTGATGTGAAACAAATGTTGCTGCCTCAGATGCAGCCAGCTTGGCCATAGCAGCCGCCTGCAACAGTGAAACAGGAAATGGCAAAAGTGACAGGAATAATGCTAATGCACAAATCACATTTCAGTTCTCATGCAGAAGCTTAGTCACTACGTAACAATCATACTGTACCATGTAAGGTATCAAAGAGAGTCCATGTGATAAGTAGATAAAAACATGTAATATAGCAGAATATACTAGCCTTGGAGTAGGGTTTCTTTGCATCTCGTAACATTGCAGCTTTCCAGGTGAGAAGACGAGCACTTTCTAGCGCCACAGCCATGTCTGCCAATTTAAACTGTAGAGAGTAGAGACTTGTGTTAGGAAAAAAGATCTCAAATGTATTTTAAAGTAAGACTAGTCGCAGTGTTGAAAACCCTGATTATTACATAAAAAGAAGAAAGACAAATTCGTGATCTCAAAATAATTATTTAATTGTTTACTTTGGAACGTCACCATATAAGCACAGATATCTATACATAGTATTTTCTCTGGGTGTGAAAAAACAATGAGATTCAGTCGTACTGTAACATTAATTTAACCAGAAGTTGTTTCAAAATGATAACACCCATTAATGTCATAGTGCCCTCTGGATACTTAACCACTGAGTGATG